CTTTACTGCCTACCATCTTCGCTTCTTTCACTTCGACGCGCTACTCAATTCAGGGAACTGTAAGTGTAGGAAGGCCAAGACCCAGTTCCACCTACTCTTTTGCAAGCTAGCAAACAACAAAGCCCCTAAGCTATTAGCAAAGGCTGAGAAGAACCCTCAACTGCTCTTTGGATCTCACTGCGAGGAGCTATTTAGCCAGGTCTACTTTAAGACCCGATTCTACACTAAAATCTGTCTCTCTAGATAGACAGGCCTTCTTTTATTTCTCTTTTCTTTTTTCCTTTTATTAAATATCTCCTTTGTTGTTACCCTGGGGTTCTAGAACTAATTAAGAATAAGAGCTGTTCCGAAAGTGGAGCTTCTCTCTAAACTGTCTCTTGTAAATTAGCTCTTTCCGTTTACATCCCCTGTAGCCTAGGGCACCCCCCTAGCGTCATTTTCCCTATTTTGGGACTCTTTAGGACCTAGCCCACGTGAGCTAGAATCCGCTTGACGTTAAATAGAAATAAATAAATAAATAAATAAATATATCATTACAATGATGACTTCGAAATCTCCCAGATCCGAGGCGAACCACCTGCTCAGAGAATGGCTGGGCGTGGAAGAAGATATTTCGTTCGCTTTTGCTATTTATTTCGATTTGTTTGGGATTGGTGGTTATATTGTACAGTACATATGATACTATCTACTGCGTAATAGAACAATAGCTAATGTATTAAAAGCATCAAATAAACCAGCGTTGTACTCCACTGTGACATGTTACTATCTTTTCTACTGTACATGAGTTGTTCTGTGTTTCCAAAAAGAAGAGGATGTAAAACGGTAAATAAAACTTGCTCTTAACTTCTAAAAGATTTTACTCAGTTGAGAATGCTTGTAAAATGATCTGCAGATGGGAAAATGTACCAGAACGACTTGGAAAGTTAAGGATGCTGGGCAAGGGAAGGTTTTCTTGAAATTGCCCCAGACCTTAGTTCAAAAGAAGGGTAACTTTCGCTCATTCTTCGGGCAGTGATAAAGAAAGAGCGGAAAGAGATTCCAGAAGCCATGATGATACCGACTAAGAACGAATTAGCATAAAGCATCACACGGAATAAAACAAAGCGAGGGAGAGTTCCACAATCCTCAGCCACAAAAAGCACAAGCTCGAAGTCATGGAAGGGAAGTAGAAAGTCTTACGCTCGGCAGTAATAAACAACCAATAAGCTGCCCAGACAGCATCGATAGTTTCATTTTCCACCATCAAGCCGATTGATCGAACGATCGTGACTCCAACGAAGATGATTGTGAGACAGAGGGAAAAGATCAAGGCAGCCTTTTGCATCCAGGAGGCTTGAATCTTCCATATGATGAACAAGGGAATCACCACGACTGAACAAGACTAGTTAGCAATACCCCATGTGAAGTTGGTTGAACAAGACTGTACTCATTAGATCACTCAAAACATCTGCTACTATCTGAGCAATTGTCGTAGCAAAAATCCGCTCAGCCAAATATCCCCGATTACATTGTACTGGAAATGTCGTTAGTACAGACAAAATTCATTTCGGATTAGTGGAATACATACGGGCCTTCAAATTATAGTAATAAGGGCATACAAGAAGATACTTCAAAAGTACATAAACAGACACCACGACATTCGCCGCGAGGGTAATTTTCCAGTACAGCATCATTCTCGGCAGTTTATCAATGAGTTTCTTGAAGAAAAAGAGAAGACTCATTTTGACGCAGATTATCGAGCACCACAAGCAACACATGGTGACCGTTCTCATTTTCTGGAAATCAAAGATCGTTTGCATCCAATTCGAAGGAGCTCTTTCGGAGAATGAGGGCCCACCATAGACGAATGCTTCGGATAGATACATGGCGTCTATGAACGTGAACAGGAGTGAGAATGCAATGATAAGGAAGACGAGGCCCAACAGGAGAAAGCCATCGTCGAGTGTAAACTCATTTTGTATGCGAAGTCGAATGTAGCGGTACCGGATCGAGAAGTGGATGGTGACGCTGATGACGGCGACGATGAAAAAGAAGATGGTTGAGGCCTAGGGAGTTAGTAGCTCGCCGAAGAACGGGAGGGGGTTTGCTTTTTTACCAGGAATGACTGCTTGGAGACTCGACCTAGGTTATCATATTCTCCCATGACTTTGCGGTTTTGGATATATAGAGTATTATGCACAATTTATCTTTGTATTTTACAAGGTTCAGGGGGTTGAGGTATCGGTTCAGCTCTTCTTGGGTAACTAAACTAGCTTGAGTCTCCCATTGGGGTTGGTCTACCCCTAGTATCCACCTTTCGATAGCGGGACTTCTACGGGAGTTGTTCCAATGATCGCGATCTGATTACCTCAGGTTGATTTTGGTTTGTCAGATGATAATCAACGAGTTCGTGGCGATCTACGTATATAGGCAAGATGCAGTCTAAATTTACGGGGCAGGAAAAAAAACATGTGTTACCACGCTAGGAAGAGGCGAATGCTCACAGCCGTCGTGCCAATCATGACTACCGAATGCAGGAAACTATCGTGGGTAGGTTGAAATTCTCGTCCATTGGACTTGGAAAAAGAACATAGAAATCTTGCTCAAGATCCAGCTTCAAAACTCAAAGGGAAGAAAACAACATCAACAGTGTATCTTCAGGCTTTTGAAGCAGGGGCGAGCGAGGCCATCGTCTGAGTCCCCAGCTGAAATTGCAGCTCTTCAGGGCCCACTTATTCTAGAACTGCCATCCAAGATATCAGCAACCTCCCTAGGTATCAAGGAACTGAACCAACTTGAAATTGCATAATTCAGGGAAACGCTATCGTGGAGGAACATTTCCGTTTCAAAATGTTTGGGAACATTTTGTCGGAACATTTCCCTGCCAAGCAATTTGGCACATCTTTGAGAACATGGAAAGATCACTATATGAGTTTTTCGCAATCGTTTTCTTGTTTATATTGATGTTGCTGCTTGGTTACTTTGAGTCAAGGTGTTGTATGAAGGAATAAGTGATGAATCAATAGACGTGACAACTTTCTTTGAGGGCCTTTGACTTCATGTGTTGTGATATGTGATTAGCTGTGATGTAATACCATGACGAAGTAATAACCTAATATTATTTCAATCAGATCCTGAAGACTATACTACAATGACAAATTAAACCAAACACCCATCCAAGATAGAGCACTATTCTTAAAAGAATATTGCTCAAATACAACTTGCTATTGCCTCTATAAATAGAACGCATCGGTGTTAGCGTGGGTTATTACATTAATCCTCGTTGTGGATCGTGAGTGTGTGCACACGTTCTTCAAATTCATTTACGTAGTAGACTTCTACTGTTTCTTGTGTTAAAATTGAGAAACTTTATGCATATTGGGTTTCTAAATAAGATTATTTCCATTGCCAAAAGCACAAGCTGCAGAAGTCACAAATATCCTTTCTAGCTTGAAGATGTAATAGTATCATCTTGGTACATAGGTGCCCGAGAATCACTAACAAACAGCGACCTTTTTATCTATACTCCTCGTCTTATGTCCCCTTCTGTTTCATATGAGTACAGATAATCACAATCCATTCTGTCAGTTGCGCACACCAGGAACTTCTTGGGCACAGCCTGCGTTCTCTGTACCAAGGACATCCGGATGCTAATACTGTTACGCTCAAATCAAAAAGAATCATTTGTTTTTATGCTAGGTACATTCATGAACAGCCATCGCATATCCAAGTATTGGTTGGGATTCAAAAAGCGACGGAGGAGCCAGGGGGTATAGTGATCGGTGATGTGCACAAATTCAAGTGGGATTCCCAAACGTTTGACCTTTACCATGTTCGCAGTGTTTGATAAGGGCGTATGTGAAGAAGAGGGGTTTATTAATTAACATCCTTTGTGCTAACTAAGGGGTACTAAGGGAGTGTCAATGAAGTCTGTTTGCATTGTCCAAAGGATGGCATGACTTACCCTACTACATTTCCTTCTGAGCCTGTGCTGGAGACTTACTGCTTCAGCTTCCGTCTCACGTCGGCACGCTCTTCGTCCCACATATCCTTCACGTCGATGGCTATCGTGTAGCCTCCTAAGTATACAAGGAGACCGCTTTAGCCACACTTCCACTGGAGTACTTGCCGGGCATTTTAAGTCCTTTTGCACGAGGTGTTCCCACTGCTTAAGCTTCCGATTTACATCGTCACGCTCTTCGTCCAACATATCTTTCACATCGATGGCTATCATGTAGCCTGATGAGTATGCGCATCGAAGATGTGTTGCGACTACATTTGGTCCCAATTGACCTGCATCTCCAAAGCTGGCAGAGTCCAAAGAGCTTTGCACGAAAACCGCTTAGCATTTGGAACTACCTTTCCCTGGACAACATTTAAGTTTGCAGTACTAGAGAAGTCAGAATCAATGCTTCATCTGGAATAAAAGTTTTTAAACTAAACTTAAGTTGGTCCTGGCATGTGTATTTCAACGATTGTGTCGCCTGTAATCGTTCCTTGTACAAACTCGCATGAGAGACGTCGCACTTCTTCAACGAAATATTGAGGGAGAGACTGAAGCCCAGATGTGTAGCAGACTTTTTGGCTTGGTGGATACTTGAAATTCGCGAGTCTCAAGTGCAAATTCGGGACAGAGAGCCAGCGGAATGAAGGGGAAGGTGGCTGCTATGGTGTGTATGTTCCTGATCCGCAACGTTTAGTATGGGATACAGAAGAGATTAGGAATCATTCATACAAGGAACAATTTGATGACCTTGTGACCTTCAATTCCGTCGCAGCGTTTGCCGGAATGCCAGTTTGAGGGAGACGCCTTATTTGGCGAGATACTCTTTGTCTAGCCTGCGGATAGGTCGGCGTTTCGGGGCTGCGAAGAAGAATTTGATCCTGGCCAACAAGACGTCAATTATACTTGTGACCAATCTTGGGATAACGTGCGGAAAGGGAATCAAAGTATCCTTTATTAAGTTCGTTCTCGGGAGGGCAGCGCAGTGGTTGAGGACAGTGACGATTTGACGAACGTGAGACCAAGGAAATGAGATTACCTTAATAGTGCTTCGGACGGAGAAAAATACGCCAACAAGAATGCTACTCAGACGACATATTTGGGGGGCTGGTGGGTGTATTGTGTATGGAGGAAGGGGTGCTGCTCTGGTGCACACCAAGCTAGCCAGGGGTATGTCGCTTACATTTCCCTGTCACGTGACTAGACCTGTGCCTCCCTTCTCCTCGAGATGCAGGTGGTGGTACAAGCACTCGACCCCAAGAGCTAGTACGTAGCAAATGTTCTCTACTACGCCTCTGCATGGCTCAGTGACATGATTCATTGCTAAAATATGACAACAATAAGCTATTCCATCAACGGTTTTGGAGTGATCTCGATGGAATTCTGGTCGCGGCAGGTAAACAATATGGGATTGACAAATATTTCCAACGAATCAACCAATTTGAGAAAACGCCAGAACTGTAGAACTAACTTACATCATGGCAGTGATACATGCATGTTCCTCGGGCTAGATTACGTGATTTTGTGGTTGTTATCGTGAAGTGTTTACGTCTTCCACTGTCGCGAGGTATTAGGGTCTTCAGTAGAAAATCATGATGAATTCCTTCGAAGAAGATTACTGGACGACCTTCCAGAAATAGTAAAACTTTAAATAAAATTGACGCCAGATGTCAAAGTTATATCTGATAATTCATCGTGGCACATCTCGAAAGTGACGACGGCTACCGAAGGCAAGGGAACCAGAGAGACAAAGCAGAAAAGCGGCAATGGAAACAGAGTTTTATTAAATAACACTAGCCAATTTCGAATATTGTTGCCTATTGTAGCAACCACCTGTGGGATGAGTAGCAAAGGCATGCATGCAAGGCAGGAACGTACGCTGCCTAGGAGACAGATAATCGAGGCTGGGAAAGCAGCGGGAAAGCAGTGAATTTCTAGCAACCTGTATGCCATCTTCAGAAGTAAAGCACCACCTCTGTTTCACCCTCAAATCGTAGTTTGGTAGCCACCTCTGAAGGCGACCTCAAAAGATCGCCTTTGAGTCTCAGGTGCTTCCCTCTCGGACAGCTCGACCCGTCAACTCAACCAGATGGCGACGACGGAAGGCCATGAACTTGCCGACACTAGCGCAAGCCCACCTTTGTCTCCTGCATCCTCATCAAGTACTCTGAGCTTACCACCAGACAACTTGCCAGAGACTTGGGAAGACCAAGTCAAGATGGAGCAACCCACAACCCGCAGAAGAGTAAGTATACCGCCAGATAACTCTTCTGATAACTTGAGCGTGAAGGGTGGGATTTAATTTGCTAATATTTGAGGTCAGGTGCGTGGCGTCAGCAAAGCAGATGAGTCTACGGCTGCTACTTTAAGCGACCCCAGCAGCACCGACAACGCCGTCCCCCAATTGCGTATCAAACAACTTACCATCTCCGAATGGCACCCAGAATCTAAGAGCGATCCTTGGGCACTTCGGACTGGTACGAAGGAGCACCCCACAGAAGAGAGCAAGAGCGCAGTGATCCTATACGACAAAGTTGAGAGCGGTGGCCCGTCAGACGAGGTCTTCAACGATCCAGCCAGCGTAGCTTCGCTGAAATCCTCCTTCAAAGGCATCCTCTATGACACCAAAGGAAAACCTGACCTTCCACCACATTTGCGAAAATTCAACAAGAAGGGTTTCACCATGCCTGAGCCGATCCCGACGACGCGACCTGTGAGCGAAGCCGACACCAGAAACGATGATGTTGAAGAAGGATGGGATGGCTATGTCAACGATGATGGCACTGAGATGGATGTTCTATCTGTCATTGGCAAATTTTCTATGGCAGCAAGAAAGGCGCGTGGAGATGCATCCCCCACTGTCTCTGCGCAAGGCCAGCCCTCACGACAAAACAATCGGCAAACATCTAAGCCTGCTTCTGTTAACCACACTGGCACTCGCCAAAAAGGTTCTGCTAAACAGAAGGGAAAACCTGCATATGCAGTTCCCCAACCAGATCCCCGACCAGTTCTCCTACCAGTTCCACAACCAAGTGCACAAATTCAACCTGTCGCCGCAGCTCCAACAATGATTCCTAGCCAGGCCAGCCAACGTCCACGTCAGCGTCACCAAGTCCCAGTCATCACCGTTACTGCCCCAAGCTTCCATGTTCAAGGTCCTGATGATTCTGTTTCTGCTGCCCAGACTGGAATGGCTCATCAACGAGCAGCTTCTACCAATGTGTCTGCAGCCCAGAAAGCTATCATTCGTCCTCAAGCAGCCACACCTAAAGCAGTTGTTGTTGCTCCACGAATGACCGCCCGTCAAGTAGCAGCTCTTCCTCGTAGAATGACTGCTCGTCAAACTGCTATTGCCAGTCAACGTGCCATGGAACAAGAGTCAATCGCTTCACAAGAATCTGCAATTCAACAATCTCAACAAAGCGTCAAGAACCGACAAGCTGCCGCCAATCGTCACATCACTAGAAGCAAACGACCTGTTGGTCGCCCACGTCGTTCATCTACTCAGCGTCCTATTGTCAATGCCCCTTCAGATACTTCTGTTACTGAGGAAGCTTTCCCAAACCTACAAAGTCCCGCAATTCAGCAAGCGGTTATTGACTCAGCGACTCATTTCAATCCACCAGCTGGTGTCTCCCAACCTGTTTACAGAAGCATTGCACCGCGCCCAGGACCAGGGCCTTCTATGATTGTCTGGCCTGTCGATAAAAGACACCCAATCGCTGAAACGCACGCTATGATAGTTGCACCAAACCCTGATGAGTACCAGTCCCCATACGCATTGATGCCAATCATCCAAGAGAGCAATGTCAGAGGTACCGGCGCACCAGCCCAGGAGACAAATGTTGGTGAGAGTAGCCTTAGAGCCACCTACCGACCACACAGAAAGCGCGCCAGTGTTGACCCTGATGAGACAGAGGATGATATGGACATGGTTGAACGTACCATTGGTTTCACAAGAAGCTTCTGAGGGGGTGTTCTTTACGGAATACTGATGGAATACGAAATACCGATGAAGGATTTGCACAGTGAAGATGGGAAGAAACAATTCAGCCACTGATGTGGGATAGCAACAGTGGTCAATTCACATAAATAAAAGGCTTAGTCTTTCAAAGGATTTGTGGAGTATCTAGCTTCTAATTCAATGAGATATTAAGTATGAAAGCAGCTCTATTCAGTATGTGACATGTGATATTAATATTATGCGTTTGGTGTTACAACACTTTGAAGTGTTGTGATTGTAAGTGTAAGAACAAGCGAGGCTAGACAAGGTTGCGATAAGAGGAGGAGGTTGGGGAGATCGGAAATGCAAGCAAGTGAATTCCGATTTATGTCTCCCTAAAGCAGCGCAAGATTTCAGAGTTAGGGCTCGCTTGTAGTGTACCCTGCATGGATAACCCTTGTCGGGTTGCTTTGAAATCCCTCTGGTAAACTTGCCTAACGCGTCATGCCTCATCTCCGACTTTCCCCTTCCCACCTGGTGTCGCCGACCCCTCCTCTACCCCTCTTTGGATCTGTTCACAATTCAAATCCACCACCAGGGACATTCTTCAAAATCTTGCTCCTGCGATCAATTGAGTTTATTGCAGTTATTGTATATTTCTGAAAGCTTCAGAGATTACGTGCCTCTTGATCGCGTTCTCTGTTTCCGATTTCTTTAGACGCAAGCTGCGACAACTGAGCACCAGGTCGACGAATCAACACAAAACGATAGACGCCCTCTCAAATTGCAGATTAAATTCTTGAGATCTTCCCTGAAGTATGTTCCCTGATACAACACAATGAATCAACTTTCTCCAGAAGAGGCAATTGACCTGTTTAAATCCGCTCCTGGCTAACTTACAAATAGCCCAACCTGTCATATATCAACAGAGACACAAGTCACAGAGACAATGGCACGCAACAAGGCTTTAAAACCAGCACAAGCTTCTGAGACTGATACAATTAGCAAAGTCACCACTGGCGGTGAGAACTCGTCAGCTAGTTTTGATCGTCGCTACAACGATCGAGTACTACCTCTTGCTACAATCCGTGGCATTGTCAATTTTGTAGAAACTCTCAAACTACGTTACGACATGAAGATTGACAGAAAGTTGCAGAGAAAATTGGCAAGAGCTGAAAAAGCCGCTGCTAATGTTCAATATTCCCCCTCATCGGAGATTATGGATGAGTTTTTGGCTGACGACCACGAAAAGCCCACCCTATGGGACCTCACTTTCCTTGCTGGCAAGAAATCAGAAAGCATGGAAGCTGCGTACGCCTCTTCATCCTGCACAAGTATGTTTATATCTCCTTTTGTTTAGCCCCTCGTGTACTGTGCTAATGTATTTGTATTAGTCTCCTCCGCAACCATCATTGGCGATCCTCCAGCTGGAGATAGTCACGTTGAATTGAGCACCACAGCAGAGGTGAAGAAGAAAGATGACACACCAACCATTCCCATCTTCAATGAGCTTGAATGGACCCAAGAGGCTATTGATAAGAGAATTGCACTATCTGTTTCAAAGACACCAGAGGAGAGCCGCAGACACTTGAAATACTGGTTGCACGTTGTAAACACTGTTCTAGAGGACTCTAGTGATGAAGAGGATGACGAGACTGATGTTTGATGCTGACAAGGCGGGTGTTATTGATGGTATGTTAACGATGTATTTCTTATACTTTATTAGAAAGTGAAGATCTTTACTGACTTATATATTAACTAGACTGATTTTCATACTGATCACACCTTCAATCATCATTTCTATGGTCGCTCAACGTTACTGAGTTTATGTTCATTCACTTTATGGTCTGTAAAGCCTCCATCTGTTCCCAACTGCTTCAGACACAATCAGCTGACAAAACCCCTTAACAGACTTTCGCCAATTTTCCTCCAAACTGAATACTAGCCAAAGTACGACTGGATACACTGTTGGATGTTGAAGATTTGGGTTCCAAAGAAGTTTGAAATCGGTTGTTATTATACCACGGTCATTATTCTGGCAAAGGTAACTTGTCCTCAGGGTCTCATGGGCAAGTATAGTAAAGTCGCAGATAGACTTGTAGGTTTATAAATGACCTGATACTCATCTTTTCTTTATGTTTTTATGTGCTATGTTTGTATTTCCTGCTGCTGTTCATTTCTCTTTTTATATTACCATGGCACATTTGCAGGTGACAAAATGTTTCTTCTTCTTTGTGATATCCCTATTAATGATCAGACATTACACTTCTAGCGCTGTCTACATAAAGGAAGCAGAGTCATTCCCTGACAAAATCAATTTGTTTTGGGATATCTGTACTTCCAAGATTTCCGTTGTTGTGAAGATGAGTGGTTGATTCCAATTCTGGCAGATAAAATCTACCAGAAGTTCAGTTTTACACTTGATGATGTTTGTTACATAGAGCTGATTTTGAAATAACACAGGAATCTTCTACCTTCCGACATACTCGGGCACAACCCTCATACGACAGTAAGGCTCCATAATTGAGCCAAAAGCCACGATCTTTTTCGCTCAGCTGAAGTTGGGTACCAGAATATCTGGCCAGAAGGCCCTGAATCTTCAGGGTTTATCTATTGATGGCCTGGACATCATCCGGCTATCACAGGCCACAGGAGGCCCTGAGTCTTCAGGGTTTGCCTGTTGTTGGCTTAGATATCAGTCGGCTGTCAGAGGCGAAATGCAAAACCTGTCTAGGAACGGCTCTGGAACGCAAAGTGAACTCTTCAGGGGAGGGTAGAGCTGGTTGGTAAGTGTCCCTTGACTTAAATAACTCAAGTATATTGCTCTTCAGTGTGATGCGTTCATAGATAGAGGAGACTAATGTTTACGTTGACAGAAATCGATCTGACGTTTCTTGGAAATCCGAACAAGCTAGGACGTCCTGCCTCTCTCCTTCAGACTCATCAACCATAGCAGCGATCTACTTGTTGAAAAGAGCTTGACAATACTTCTGCAGAATGTAAGACTATTCCACTGAAGCTTCGAGAGATGGGCTAATTAAAAGGCTATAGCGAGGTGACGTTGTGGCAGAAACAAGTATGGGGTTTCTTCAAAATATGAACAAGCTTTGAGATGTTACTTCTTTCAGGTAAGCAAAAACCTTTCGTTTTATTTAATCTGCATTAATATACAGTAAACCAGTTCCAACTTGAGAAACAGTAGCTAACAAAGTTCACAATACCAGGGAGGCGGAAAGATACTTACATCCGTCGTGAACCTCCGTCATCCACCATGGAGCACCAACAATGTACCTAGCCTGTACCTCCATTGATACACACAAGCTTGCGGTCAAGAATGTCGAAGCTGGAGCTCAGGAATCAAATGGCAAGAATATGCGAAGAAAGGGGAGGGTACCAACCTCTGTGCTCTGTAAAAGGCAGGTGGTTTGGATGGACTATGACGTGTTTTTATTGTAATATTGCTTCTTGCCTTAGATTAAGTTTACTGTAGAAGGTAATACAAGAAGTTTTCCCTCAGGTGGGGCCTCTGAGCCCTGACCACATTATCTGCCACCGTGAAAGGAAGAACTTCAAAGACTCTAGAGATGAAACTCATTCGTTGCCTCTAGGGAACTGGCTCGTCTTGGTGGGTATTGATAGCTGAGATTCCATGAACACTTGCTAATATCTGCGCAGTAACCCAAAATATCTCCGCAACACAATCCCACTTTGGTTTTGAATATTGCGGCAAGAGCGGTACTCAATTTCGAATTCCTTCGCATACGTCTACAAACACAAACCACGCATCACAAACCAAGGTCGCATTATCGATTCAATATTTATGCGATACAATCATATGCCTGCTATACTTACGTGCGGATTATTGTGGATGACTTCAAGTGATCTACGGATATATTTCGTGTTTGGAAATGGCCTCAGTCTTTGCAGAGACTGCGGTCGTAAGTTCAATTCCATGAGAAGTAAGTCTTTACCATGTGTGCAGAGCTCCCAAGGGCACCACTCCCTCTCACTCCACAATTTATTCCCCCTTGAGCCTTTGGAAGTTCTATGCTTACAAAAGCATGTTTGTATAATAGGTTGGCAGCGATTTAATTGCCACACGATCATCCTCTTCTACGAATATCGAAATGTCGATTCTGCACCAAAAAGAAAACGCGCCATCCTCAGAAACTACTTCCTCGAGAAAATCTATGCGGTACATAGGCTCATGGCTACCCTCAAATAATTCTACATACAATCTGCTGATCGGAGGCGGACGGAAACGTCGATGCTATGGTGGTCTGGGATCGTTTCTGATGTCTGTTGCACGAAACCCATGGCCATTCGCTGAATGGAGCTCTGGTTCAGTCCTGACAGCCAAGTCCAAATCTTCCAAGAATAAAAGCATCCCACTTTCGCATATTCCCACGCTTTTACCCGTGGTCATTCTGTCAGACCCATGTTAACTTGGTTCAATTACGCTGCTAGCAGTACGATCTAGCACTCGTACAAGCCAGAGCAGTATCTTACGAGCAAGAAGAATTGAGTTCATGGGCAGCAGTTCAAACTTCTCATGGTACGTCCTCATAGTTCGTTTACTTAATTGAGACCAATGTCTGATTGAATTTAGATATAAATGGGACTGAAATTCCTGTTTCCGACCCAACTGCCGCCACTTAAAAAGATTCAACTACTCCAGTATCGATAGATATGGTTCATACCCCAGCCTGCAAGGGAATTACTAAGCTGAAGGTCTCATCTCCGCCTCCTTCTTTGAATATCTTCCGTGGTCCTCGATTGGTCGACCTCAATATGCGGAAAGAGATTGACCAAGGCAATTCCAAGACTGAACTTTCTGTTCAAATTAGGCTCTCTAATTCCCTCAAGAACCAGTTATAACACCATCGACGAAACATTGACTTCTCACTCGTTATGGAGTCACCCGCATTCTCGTCCATCGTTCTGTGATATATTGCAACGGTTGCATGTCTCACATTTTACCACCAATTCTTCAAATCGCTGCCCAGAATTGCTGGTGCAAACTATCCCTTGACAGGTGGGAACCATGTGGGTTGAGGATTCATCTCGAGGTCCGCGCGCGAACCATATCAGCGCCAAGATAATTAGTCTCGCTTAAAAACAGCCCCTGAGACGTGCATGGAATGTGCGACCGAGGCTTCATGGGAAACCTTGAAAGTTCTGGCAATCGATTTCGGTGGATTCTTGATTACTTTGATGTCGAACGAGGGTTAGAACGACAGGGTTGCAGTTTGGACATTCAGGGGCCTCCAAAAGCTGTTTGCTGTTTTCCCCCATCAATTTCACGTCCTCGGAGCTTTTTCTTGACTCTGCCTACACCTGGTATATTACCCTCGACATAGTGGAAATCGGCGTAGTGACTTGGAGTCCTGAGCACCGACCCAGAAAAAAAAGGCTCAAGCACCATTCGCATAGATAAATGTGTAAGTACCACAGCGCCAATCTTCTGATGACACTTAGAGACTAACGTGTTATAGGGAGAACTGTATCACGTATGCATTTTGAATATTGTTTGTACTGGATCTGAGAGCAAGCATGGGACTCAGGCACCTCTCACTCTGGAATCAATCCACCAGAGATGGCAGGGGACAGGAATTATGGGACCCCCTGGCGTTGGTAAGTTTTTCGATCATCCGCCGCAAATATACCACCATTGTTCCACCCCGTCCCAGATCCCCATGAGAAAACACAGAGGCGCATTGAGTCTAATAATTCGCTGTATACAGAAGCCTTTGAACCACTGGACCAGACGATATCTGCGTTTCTCCTGGCCGATTCACGAACACGCCAGCTCTCACATTGATGCAGGAAAGCTTGGAGGAGATACTAGACAAGCTGCATCGCGGACGGAGCAGATATGTGTTCAACGGATTGACACTTGAGCACTAAAGTTCCGCAAATGCCACCATAGGAAACCAAGTCCAGGCCAGAACCGTCAAAGAAGTTAATGTCTTCGATCCGCAATCAACGGTTCGCCGCTCAAAGCCGGGGAATGGAATACTTCCAAGGAGAACAAACCGCAACTTTTCGAAGCAGCATCCTCAGCCCCCTGTCATGTTCGTCTGCCCAGCCACAACCCGATGATCCAACAGACTGAAGCTTGGGGTCACGTCTCATAGATTTCTTGTCCTGTCCCGTTCGACGCAGAATAACCACGAAAAACCCTTCCAGGCACTTGCCCAAATCCTGGTCCCAAATGAAGTACTTCAAGTTCTCAGAATTCCAGCGCCTTGGGTTTCTCGATGCCCTGTTTTTTTCCATGCGTTGATCATAGGCGGAACGTAACCTCAGTGGCTCCACCGATACACCTTCTGGGGTGTGCGTTAAAGAGAGACAGACATGGAATCTGCGAGTAGTTGCACGATATTCCAAATTTCATTTGGAAGTGGGTGAGATCTGATTGGTCCTTGCATGGCGGCCATACGACCTTGTGTCTTCCTAAGAGCAAATCTGCAGACGCATCCAATTCTTTCGCATGCCCAGACTTTGAGTTGGCCAATTTCAGGAGATTCACACAGCGAATGACCTCGCAATTTTTGCGTGCGAAGTAAATCAATCTCAATTTGTGGTTTGAATGTCACCTTAATGCCGATACGTGTTGTGTAGTAAGCGGAATGGTCTTCTGCGTATTGCTTCCCACCAATTACTGCCACACCCTCGATTGAGCCTCCACTTCATCCGGATTATCGAAAGTGATCAACGGCAATTGTCAACTACAGCCAGAGTTCTGAATCAAACAACCAGATGAGATGATCCAGTTGAAGATGATTGAATCTAACTGAAGGACCTTCGTACGATGCCATTGGAGGAAGTATGGTTTGGGTGCAAGACCTACTTTAGCAACTTCTATCGCCAGTGCCGTATTACAGTACCTATGGTGTCAATTTTGGAAGGGGTATCCAAACGTTGTGAAGCGTTTCTGTTGGATCAATGGCTATTGCAAAAACCGAAATCTTTCTTTATTCGGGGAGAACTTGATGGAACTAATCAAGTCTATGATCTAAAATTGCCTGAAGCTGACACCATCGAGCTGATACCTGCTAAACCTCACAGTTCAAATCACCCTCCGCGGAGTATTTCTGGATCGTTTCTTGAAGGCTTTGGATGTTGCATGATCTCTGACTAGTCATTTCTTGGCGCTTTTCGGGAACATATAGTAATCTAAGGTCTCAACCTTCTGGAAACTAGCCGCATATCATGCGTCAGTTCAAACAGAAATGTGGCCTGGTCGTGAGGCATACAAGCGAGGTTTTCAGACAGTTCCACCCCGGTACCGACGTTTCTTACCGCCTGGTGTCCACTGAACTCACTTTTCCGTTATTACGGGACCCCGAGCACTCTCCACACTACTCTCAGTATCTTTTGCCACCTTTTACCAGCGCTCGTATACGGAAGGATGTTCTGGAGCCAGATACTGGCCTATTCTAGGTCGTTCCGATTGAACTGAAGCTCCCGATAAGACGCTACCTTGCTCATAGCCAGCTCTCTTTCGATCTTTCCCCCACATTCTGGCAGTGCCTTATTCGTCTTCTAACATTGGTGGAAAACACTTGCGACTTGAAAACTGCAACGTGTTCGTTCCCGATGAATCCGACAAGATATCGCTGGCGTGGGGTGGAAAGATTAAGAAGCAGACTTCAATAATCCTGAGAGGAATCTCGAAAATCCGGGTTATGGAGAACGATACTGCCTTGTTCGATTTTCTTTCCAGATTCAAGTGATGGGGGGCAGCATCCTTTCCAGCTATTTTGATCATGGATTTCTGCGGTTTTTATGCCACGAAAAAGACCTTCAAAGGTGGAACCGCGATAATCCTTGAATGTAGTATCAAGAACCGGCCCTTCTCGAGAACTACTTCGCGTTCACACATGCTTCTCTCAAAGTGGATATGTCAGGTGCCGTCGCAAACATTGATGGTGACCTGATTTGCCTGCTCCTATCTCGGCTTCTGGGACGCCTGTGTGGATGCAGTTGCCTACCATTTGGAACCCCGAGCTATCGCAGAAACTCCAATCAGTGGAGGTGTCACGAAACGCCCCTCTTGTCTTAGACGGGTTGCTTAGCCGAGACTCCTGTCTCGTGTGCCTATGCCTGACCAATCTGGCGCAGCATTCTAGAGCCTTCCACTCGGTCAGGCAGTGCCTTTTTCGTCTTGTGACAAGAGGTCTGTGTGCCTTTGATGTTGGTTTCGGAAAGAATGTTGCAATACCAGGCCTTATCCAGCAACGAAAGGAGGAGGTCGAGTGCCCACGACACGGTACGAGCACTCTCCGGTCCGCTCTACTATATGGCACTAGCATATGCTATGTTGAAGTAGCTACTCCAACTCCGGACGATTCCAGCGGACACACAATCGATGTAATAGCGCCACCGGGCTCACTTCTAGGTAGCTTCGCTCTCGATGCTTACTTTATTTTCATATTGTGCCCTCGTCTTCTGACAAGTTTCCCCTGTGTCTTCGATGTGGGTTTTGGAAAGACACGTTCCGTAGAATAGGAGAGGTGTACAGAAGCAGTCCAAGACTGGTCGGCGAATAGTATTTTCCCTCGTCTTCTAACAGGAGACCTATGTGCCTATGATGTGGGTTTTGGGAAGACAGGTTCTGTGGGACAGGGGAGGCGTGTAGTACTCCAAGACTGGTCGGCGAATAGTATTTTCTCAGCTCTTTGACAAGAGGTCTTGGGATGTTGGGACCGAAATTTGCAGGTCTAGACAACATCCGGGTGTTTACCATCTGGAGAGACGATTGCTGCGAGTTTGGAATCCAACCAGTGGACTGGGAAGGCAGCCTGTTGGGGCCACCAGGAAAATCCAATAAGTGCATCTCTGTATGGGCATCACCCTATGCGCTTGTGCTAATTATGTTAAATTAATAGCCAAGGCTAACCCCAAGCCACAACCCAAGACCAAAGCTCCTCAAAATAACGGCGCCCTCGTCATCCTGGATATTGTTAGAGTCTTTTGTGTCTTTCAACATGTCAGAGTAATCTCTCTCTCTTCTAAACAACATACTAGGGCACAGGTCATATACGGCAGCGAGCCTACGCGACTCTGACTTCGAGAGACCCATCTCTCGCCATGACCCTCCAACCACAACCATACTCATGTCGAGGGTAGCGGAGAGAGCGACCAGAAGAAAGGCATTACAAGAAAGGAAGAGGGGATCTTCGCTGTTGGATTCTCCGATTTAGGTGTAGCACAAGCCATGAGCCTCGCTCCTTGTTCGACCGTCCGTGTCAGGTTGGTCGGTTTTCCGGAACCATTCGGCAGATTTGGCTACGCAGGTATCTTAGGTCAGGTATCTTTGGTCTCGTGGAAGAAGAGTCCGCCAAGTTTGCTGAGTTGGATATCTTTGCTTGTGGTACTACGGAGGGATATGCACCGTTCTCATCACGATCATGAATGTCAAATCGGAGATTATGGTACCGACATCGAGCCCAAAACCGATCCTCTCAGAGGATCGGTTTGATGTGGTTTTCGTAAATCCGGCGTTGACTGAAAATCCCACCTTTGTCACTGCCATTGAGCGTGCAAGTGGCACAGTGTGGGGACAGTCTCTGATTTGATGGTGCTGGAGCCGTTCTTTTCAAAATTTCTGGTGTAGTTGAGAGGCAAAGATAGCGAAAGGGATCGACTGGAGGACTTCGCTTTGGAATGTACCGAAGAGGAGAAACAGACGATCAAATGGATCAGAAGGGAAACCCAGATCCGCTCCCTCATTTGGTCTGCTTCTGCATGCGCAACATCTTATTTCGCCCTGCGTCGTTGCAAGATCCAGATCCGCTCCCTCGATTTGACCTTGCTCATGCCTGTCACGAAAGATATCGAACCGTTGCCTCATTTTCCGCAAAGGATAGCCTGGATGTGGTCTATCATGCTCCTGTGGGCGTTTCTTGATGGATCGAACATGGCAAATTGCTGTTTGCTATGTAATAGTTAGCGTTGTCTCCGCGCTCGGTTATGTTGTTGAATATTGGGTTGTGGAGTGCGCTGCCCCTTCCCACTTGATCCGTGATTGCCACAATTGGGGGCGAACATTTGGACATTGCTGTTGTATCGTGGGAAGCAAAGTTGCAGATGATGCGCCGCCAAGAGATTATTTGAATTTTCCTCAAGCATCGTACCTATGAGACGGAAGGGTGATAAAAGTTCCCCCCTGAATTCAGTACCCGAGGTTTACCCGTCAAACCGAGGCTCCAACATAACCATCACAAGAGCAGACAGAATCATCACATTGCTTCCGCCGCTCACAAGGATGCAACTCCCAGTTTGGAACTACCCATGTGCAAAAGGCTCTCATTTCCATCAGAAATGAAAACGGTGTGACTCAAGCCCTAATTCTTGCCTCGAATTTTCAAACGACGTCAATGAACATCGAGATCAGAGGAGATAGGACCAATCTTACTAGTAGGAATCTTTGGGGATGCAAGAATACCATAAGAACCATCTACCAGCTGCGATGATGAAGAGTTGTCGTCCAAAAGTTGTCGTCCCGCAGAACGGAATGCAGGCATGGTCTCCGATGGGACATTTCGCCTTGTGGAATTGTTCTGCTAGATTTGTCAGCTTCGCGCTTCAAATTAAAGATACGACGATGCCTCAGGTGCGATATATGCGCTGAAGCTGCCGCGCATATAATCCTTGATCTCCTTCACTGCACCAAAGGCTTCTAAGAGTGACAAGCCGTTGTGTGAGCCTCATGTGAGCTTCGTGGATGAGCAAAATTTGGAACTTGCGATTTTCGAGGATTGGTCCGATTTGTCCTTTAGTGGTCTCCACACTTCCTTGAGGGATAGCTGGTCTAATTTCTGTTCCCGGTTGCCCTCGTGAGTATTATCTGGCTCATAGTACACTGAGGCCTTGCTCAGCCCTCTATCTCCATCAACAGCGATCATTGCATGTACTTGGAAGGAGCAGTATCTGGTGCCAATAAGCTATGCCCGGCTCAAAGGGTTCGGTCGATGAATCTGGAGAGCTCTCTGGATCTTGTGTTACCATAAAGACATTGAATCTGAAAGCCTCAGAGTGAGCTCGCTGTAATTTTCATGGCATCGACTAGGGGTTGGAATATCCACCGTACGGCCCTGATTTGAACCCGTCAAATCTCTGTCAACAGGGATCATGGTGCAAAGTTGTCGGGTTTTGGCGTATCCTAAAGCGGGAGACCCATCAGGAAAGGTTGTGGAGGTTGAACTAGTCTTCATACCATCAGGATAAAAGACCAATCTTGATGCTACGAGTACTTGGCCCCAATATCACGGATGAAAACCTATCTGCGGTATGCCAGATTATGCCTGGCGAAGGGCAAACTATCTTACCTCGACACACGGTGGCATTTCACCTGTTAAGGCAGCTCCATGGTGTTGGCCATCTGAGCCAATCGATAAAAGCTGTGTGACCTCTCCAACAGTAACGGCTCCATTTCAATGGGAGTGGTAACTGTTGACGAGCATGAGGTATTGAGGTCTAGTGTGTGGTTTTGTTGAAGAAAGACTTCTGAGAGGATGTGAAACATGAACTCTTTCTCGATAAGTCAGTCGCCAACCCTGGTGTCACATCTGGATTCACCCTATCTATTCACTATCATTCCGACGGCGATCATTGTTTCTTCACTTTCAACAATAATACCAATGGCTTATCGCTTTTTCACCTTTGCTTCAGTCAATTCGTCGCTCTCGTAGCAGGAAGGTCGAGGACGTCATGAGCTCACCAAACCAAATTATTTCCACCAGAATAAAGATGGGGTAGTTCGCAGGACCAAGCGAAATTCTCTGTGACTACTTGTCGTGTATTGGGGAAGTGCAGAAACCAAAACCAGCTCCTCGCATTTTGGCCGAATTTGTGGGGTCAAGGTTGAAATCATGAGGTTGCAATCGCGAGAATCTTTTGCCAGTAAAATAATGGTTTGGGTGACTGTCGAAACGGAGAGATAAGAAAGCAACTTCTTTTATCGCCTTTCGGATTTGCAAATAGCGACACTTGTACCATCTTCCACCTTCAGCCAGGTGCGCATCAATACTCATCAAGGCCTGAAGCAATCGTCGAAGGCCGTTTGTTGTGTCTACCTCGAGTTCACTCTTCCCAGTAGACGTTTTGGACGGTGTATGATGATCCTCAGGGAAGCAAGTGTGAAGGTGATTCGTGTACTCTTTGGTCAATTGGATCCGGGTTGTGCACAAATTGGGTGGATCAAGAAGTTCGTCAATCAAATATGTCATTACCGGAAAGATTAACGCCGCATCATGTGGCATTGAAGCAGGTTTGTAGGGACTTTCCTGTGCTACCACGCTACCTAAGATTAGCCCCGTTTGCCAGAAACGTGGCTCCTCGTCTCAGCCAATTGCTGGCTTCCCCGATCCTGGACCCACCCACAATAATCCTCGTTGAGGCTTGCCTTTTAGAGTTCTCATGGCCATCCAATTTCTGGTATTGGTACTTCTGTGGCAATGCTGAAGACGAAAGTTGACAATGAAGCTTTGAAAATAAATGTAGAGCAAACGGAACTCAGGGAAGAAAAACTACTTTACAATTTGGACCAGGAATATGCTATGTGGCACTTTACCGAAGCGAGCATCCTCTTTTGCGTCATGATAGTTACCTGGATCCGGTTGTCGGCAAGCAGTGTCTACCCAGTCATCCACAACCATTCTATCCCCGGCATCTTGAGATCCGATTTCTCGCCTCGCTACATCGCCAGAACAGAGCTGCCTCGAGGTCGGATCTTTTGGTTCATCAGGGGCCTCGTATAAGAATGTCTAAACGCCTTGAGGGAGACCTTCGCTTCCTAGTCATTATTTGATCCTTGAAAGTAACCTTCGCCCTCCCATAAACAGACCGCCGCTTCATTTACAAATGATTTGTCTGTTTGCGTTCTTGTCTCACTGTGGAACCATAATTGGCGTATCAGTAAAGCGACGGGTGTATTGTGTGATGTTCTAGGTGTGAGGAGTCAGAGTACCAGAAACTCAAGTATCACTCACGGGACGGTTTCTTTGCCTTCGCTTGTTCGCTTTCATGACACTGGAAATTCTTGATAGTGTTTGATATCTTGGCTTTCGAAAACGTGGCAAAATCTCCTTGTGCTGAAACTTTAGCATTGCCCTCACTTGAAAAGGTGTTACAAAGTATTCTTGTATTCGCTCGGTCTCGATCAAGACGCATTGTCCAGACAAATATTTCAGTCACGGAAATCCTTCCTAAGGCTCCAGAAGATTTCGATATCATTCTGACCTTCAAGATCGTGTTGTAGAGATAAATTGAGTCACGAGAAACCAAACGATCACTTGCCTGCCACCTGCGAACAGATGTTATGAGCCGCTAGTGGAGGTGTAAATTGGATTCGCATTTTCTTGTTCCGGAACCGATTCAAACAAGATTTTCGAATCATCCAAAGACGTGCCTGTATTTCCAGCATGCTACCAAATGTCAGAAGACGAATAAGGATAATTCTAGTGGCACTATCACCGAGCAAAATCTGCCCAGCTTTCTTGCACCCGTCAATGCTCGTTAACCACAAGGACTGTCTGTCAGAACCACTGAGTACTCGCAAAAGAAAGTGATGCAGTCACTCCCAGTCCAGTAACTTTAGGTTCCAGAGTGACGGGAAGAAAGTTTCCAAAGCCATACTCTCGAGAAGAGGTATGGCAACACCATCGACAAAAGTCTTGCAAGACAGGCACCGTGGACTTTGCTCTTGGATCTCCTGGCTACATTTAGCTGGCCCAAGGAGAGTGCGTATGATCCTTCTCAATACAGAAAGAGCGTCCAGACAAACACGTCCCCACAAATACTTCATTTACTACTGTTTCCGAGAGACGTAGCAATGTTGTTTGAGTCTTTGTATTACTATGCTGTATGAGTACGATGCGAGAATTCGAGGTCTAGGGTATGATTTGAGGTTGAAATTTGGCGTAGGGTATTGTTGACGACATCGTTGGGGTGTGAGAAAGTACCGTGTGAAGCAGTCTCACATTGCCGATAAGGAGGGTCTCTGGTAGTACGTTACTGACCAGTCTCGTCAGAGGAAGCATGACGATACAGCCAAATACGCACTGTGATTGACACAACATTTCTTGCGTCTGATACTTCTCAATACAGAAATAGTGTCCACACAGACCCCTCCTCCCAACTTTCTAAACCAGAACTGTTCGAGGGACGATGATTTCGTTCTCAGAAAGTGTGAGGTTGGATGAATTTTTGGAGTGTTGTTGGAGTCTAGTCGAACACTTAATTTTCCTATGTTTAAACGATGGCATATGAACCAAGTATTGTTCCCAACGAAATTGAAGCTGGAGAAGTCGACTTTTTTCTGATTTCTGGATGTCGTAGTTTTGTTTGAGTATTCTTTGTATAATGTCAGAGTACGAAGCAATTATCAGGAGGGCATTCGTCTCCTACGAGAACGTGGAGGACTCCGATGTTGGGTGTTGATTCTGATGATCACATTTTCATGCCATGAATGGTATCATTGTATTGGAGCTTACCAACAACGGCATCAACGAACGGAAAGATGCCAGAGGTTGCGCCAATGCTAGCGACTCTGACCAATCTACTGCCGAGGGCAATAAAGACTCCGATGTTACTTCTGATTTCGATACGGCTCGCTTCGGGTTCTGTTCGTGTACTGTTGGTGTACTTTTCTTTTGTTCGAGTTTCAAGGTCGGCATTTTGTTAGAGTACTATTGAACTATCGTTGGGCTATCATCTTCCCTTGTTGTATGCGGACATAAGCCCTCCAGCCACAAATAGCCAGTTGTCAAAAGAGAATTGGAGCAGGGCAGCGACATCGAAGACCGTTTGATTTCTATTGCACCTATATTGGCGCAGTTCTCAACAAAGTACGTCCTGTAAGTCATCCCAGAGTACTTGGAAAATAAGTTGTTACTAACTCTATTCAGATTCGTAGTGACAAAACTGTTCGTCGTGGTGGTCTTGTCGTTTTGGAGGAAAAGCCGCCGCTCGCACTGCCCACGCCCTTCCCCCTTCGCTATCATACGTTGCTTTCTCTACGATTCACTGTAGAAATAATAAGAATGTAATGAGAAAGTGGGATCGGAAGCAAAGTGACAACATGTAGCAAACAATTGTTAGCGCGACTCAGGCCATAATGTATCTGACACCGACCCCAATTCAGGCTATCTAGAATTTGTTGGCTTGGCTTCCCCAAGCAAAGACTTATGGGACTGACTAGACGTGCCTCTCCTTGCTGAGGTGTAGTTTATACCCAGCCTGGTAGTATGGGTAGCACGCCTAAATGCCATCCATTTTCAGAGCGACTTCGCTCGGCATTCGAGTTGTTGCACATTCCTTAGCGGATTCCGACTTCCATGGCCATCATCCAGCTGTCTCGATGACTACCACCTTCTGTGGTGTCTGATCAGCGTAAATCGGGGCAACCTAACTCCAAGCTTGCACCCGCGCACCTTCGCAAGACCTCTGCTCCGGAAACTCCACGCAGATCTTCGAATCGCAAGCCGGGTCATCGACATCTTTTCTCGGTCTTGGAGGCTTTGCAGGGTCTCCAAACTCGGGAAATGGCCATGGAATATGAACTTTATCCCGAACGCTTTTCCGATTCGCGAGCTGACGTGGTTGTCACCTCATACGAGGCGCCACATCCTCCGAAGAGGGCAGAGCAGTTCACTGAAGGGGTGCGAATACCCAACGCTTAGGGATCAGTCGATGATTCGAGCAGATCATTTTTCAAGAGAATCAGTTGGGCATGTATGATTGTTGATGAGGGACAGCGGCTTAAGAATGATGCGAACTTGCTGTACTCGGCCCTGACTGCGCTCAGAACATCATTCCAAGTTCATTTGATGGGTCTGTTTTCCGAGAGTCGGGTATGGAAATAAGCAAGAAGGGTTGGGGTACATCAAGGAGAGTGACTGCAGTTGTCAGGAAACGATATCCAGGGTAAAGTCGAGAGTGCTCGTGCTATAAAGATTGCTACAAAAAAGCGAAAGACGATGCCCCAGCCTCACTAATAAGCAATGGACTCTTTAGAAGTACTAATCCGACATTGCATGGTCCGAGGCGAACGAGAGCCCGCTCTTGGCCGCATGTGGAGATGGCTCTGTCAAATCCTGCGACGTCAAATTTCTCTTCCACTCAATGCCTCAGGAATGACCACTCCCGTGAGGTTTGCTCCGTCTTCTGGAACCAGGTCACCAAGGATTCTTCCGTCGCCATCTACAGGTATGGCACAAGCAAGCTTGCGAGTATTCTAAGCTGTGGTCCCTAGAACCTAAGCGAGAACCAAGTTATGTTTTGGTAGCAATGGATTGGGGTGTAGAAGCGTTTTGTGTCAAGTTCATTATATGGTGCGTATATGTAGCGTTTTGGAACGCTTTGCCACCAAATCGCGCATCTCCTCAGTCATTTCTCTGGCAGCGGTTTCTTCATCCTTTTCAGCTATACCGACTCCTCTTCCTTTCAAAAACCCATCAACAGATTAGTCGTCCACGCTTCTACAGGAAATATCTTCACCGATACCGCAAATCTTCGAAGACAAATCAGACACTTTCGGTATGTGTGGAAAATAAGCTAAAGATAGCGGGCTAGCTAAGGGCAAAGGGGGAGTCTTATAAGATGTTCCTGACTGAGTAGAAGCCTCTATAATACTAGCTCCTGATTGTTCAGCGCAGGGAAATGATGAGAGGAGTCTCGACTAAGGCAAGGGAGGCATTTCGTATCATATACCGCCCCCTCTTCCTTTCAAAAGCCCATCGACAGATTGGCCGTCTACGCCTCTATGGAAAATGTCTTCACCAATACCACAACCAACATGTCAAGAGGCCATATAGGCAGCTAAAATAACTGGTTCAATGATGTTCTTGGTCTGGTGTCAGAGTATTGTCAGATTATTGTCAGAGTATTGTTAGAGTATTGTTAGAGTATTGTTAGAGTATTGTGAGAGTATTGTTCAAGCATCTTGCCGTTGCGACGACAACTATCAGCGAGTCACACCAATTGCTGCCGACATCAGAAACTGAAGATTACTGAAGGGGCAACGTCAAGAATAAATAGCAGGATTTATGGTGAACGAGGATGATGCTTAGTAAGCTGTGGTGGGATATATATCCCACCCCACTACTGACCACATTCCTTCATCTCCACCACCATATCCACCATATCGTCAGCTACACTATTGTGAGCTCTTTTGTAGAGAGGAGCTAGCTGTGGTCAGGGGAGAGCCGAAAGTGCTCGTGTTGTAAGAGAAGCCCTTGCTCTTGCCAGGGACACTCTTCGCCTATGCTACAGCGAGCATAGAGAGCTGATCAATGATAGACAATTCCAGGAGAGGATCGCTTGCTAACATACGAGTTGCACATCGTGTGGCAAGAGACCCACTCACAAAGATGTCACGATTAATTTCTGTTATCGACAGACTTGGCTTAACAATTATAATAGAGACAAATTCCTTGAAGACGTTCTGAACTCTTACCAGGAAGCTTCCCAAAACTTCTTGGGAAGCTTCAGAAAATGCGACGGGGCTCGGTTGAGAGATTATTCAACACGATGAGCCATAGGGTGAAGCTCATCACAAACTCTTGGTATTTATTTCTTCGGAAAGTAATATTCGTTCCGGGATTTTGATCTGGTTCGCGTCCCCACAAATACTTCATTCTGTTGTGGTTGGGTCTCTGCCATCTTACCAGCGTCCCGTTTCGTTGACGCAAACTTGCTACAATCAAGTTCTCGCAACTACTTTGACGACGAAACGTACGAGGGACATCAGACAAGGGAGAAGTGTTTAAGGAAATCTTGACCGAATTGGGTATACCCAAGGAATCACCCAACTACTAATCTGCCAATCTGAGAGTGCTTCAGGCAGTGGTGACTTCAACCCCAACAATGTAGTATCAAATAGAGACGAAGTCACAGTGCAGGAAGTCAATCAGTCATTGCTTGAGATTTTTCATTGGCCGACAAAGACATTGAGGAAATGATAGTACTTGAGAATGATCCAAAAGAATGCAAACAGAGGAACAACTGGCTGTGGAAAGAGTGATGTTGGAGTCTTGTCTTAGTATTGTTGTTGTTTTGTTGAAATGTTGTTGGAGTATTCATGACGATAACAGAAAGCGGCCTGCAAAGGACTCGGCACAACTGGAATGCATTTGATCACGCGTCCAGACAAACACTTCTATTGGGTTGAAAGGGTATTGGGTACTGAAGGTCATGGAGAATTGATTGCATTGTAAAAGGTAGCTATCTAAGGTGTTTAAGGTTTAGGCAGACATGAAGCATTTAGGCAGCAGAGCTATAAGTGGATCAAATAAGGAAGTGGAGCAAAAGAGAAAGTAGACCCAGCACAACAACTTCATTGTCCTGTTGTTGGTTTTCCGCCTCTTTATCCTCGGCTGCTTGGTGCCTAGATTACTCCTCAAGCGTCCAAAGCGGCCATAGCGACGAAGTATCGTGAACTTCTGGTTATACAGGAAAGCAATGCTAAATCGGGACCATGAATCACGTCCGCGAATTGATCGAGCTTTCTTTAGTAGGGAGGAATATACGAAGCGATAACAGTATGGTAGTCACGTGCATGGAGGAGCAAATCATGTAGTAGGATGAGGATGTAAAGAAGCAGCGTGAGGAGTGGTCCAAGGAACGTGAAGCGCTCAGGTATGATCTTGAAGGGGTAAAGAAGGAGCGTGAGGGGTTGGTAGAGGATCGTGCGAAGTCTTTGAAGAGTTACGGGTCATGAGGATATTGATCACACAGCACTTGAAGGTTGACTTTTCTCAATTTGACGCTCAACGCCACAGAAATGTCAGAATGGGTATCAAATCGTTCATCGAAGTAGATCGTTCAGAAGTGGGTAGACTAGCTGGGCTAGCAAGGGATACGCTCAAACTCGGAGTTGGTCTTCCGTAAGTGTTTTCGAGAAATCATTATGTGGAAAAGGATTGTGCTTACTAATCGTTGGTAGAAGCTAATCATATCATTTTGGAATCCGACACCATCAAATTCCCACGTGTGAGAGGCGACTGGTGCGGAAAAGAATACCATCTTCCAAAACCTCCAAGTTTCAACCTTGGAGTACTTAGGATACAAATGCACCGTCTCTTGCAGTAACACCGTCGACCTCAATCACAAGAAATCGAGTTCACTCGCCAAACAAATGTCGATATGGTATGTTACTACCAAAAACCAGAGGAAGTAGAATTTCGGGTATTCATGACTATCGCATGCAAATACGCCTCAAACGTCAGCCTCCCAATTCTCCGTGGTCGCTTGGTTGGAATATCCAGCGTTTGTGATAATATTACAGATAACCCGGCAAAGTCTGAGAAGTGTTCAGCGTAGAAAGTTCGAGTAGTTGAGTTTAGTAGTGGCACCTACTCAACTCAACTCGAGTAGTGAAAATCACCAACCAACACAACTCGCCAAGTACTCGATTAACTCATGAGCAACTCGAGTGGTACTCCAGTTGAGTTGTTTTGTGTTAACGCTGGAAGTATTGGAATCTGTATCTCTGAACGCGTCCACACAAACACTTCATTGTGTTGTTGTCGTTGGTGGGTGGCAATAACCACGGGTCGTCTAATCTCTTTCCTCGTGTTTTTTCTCTTCTATCTTGTCAGAGTCTCGTCGGAGTCTTGTCGGAGTAATTTTCACATGTTCGTTGGACGGGTTGGTGGTGCCTACGCCCTTTAGCGATCGGTGCTGCAAAAACTCGGCTGAATTGGAATACATTCTATTTCGCTCTGCGCTTTGGAGTCTTGCTGGAAAACCATTCAATTCTTCTCCCGGCACACTTTACTCACAAAGGAACAAACCGTGTCCCGGCAAAATCCCCGCGAAATTCGAATGCATACTCCCCCGCCCTGGTGCTTCATGAATTCGGACGCGATATCATTCTCGAGGTGTGATCGCTTGTCGAATTTCTGAAACTTTGATTACGCGGGTTCTGGTAGCGGTCATCATTTGTAGTATTTAGTCACGCTATGTTTGATGTCTTATTCCTCTGGTGGCAATTTACTAATGCCAATGCCGCGGGTGATACAAGAGGTACATGACTTTTATGTCGTCTTGGAATATTATTCTGGCTATGACATGCATGGGTCGTTTTGCTCAATATCGTCCCGGAGAGACGTACACCTGGAAGATTATATGACAAGTGTGGATGTGGTAGTTAGGGTGTGGTGTATGATATATGGGGATGGGAGGAACTGCAGAGTTTTGTTTTATTAATGTTCTTGAATTATGAACCAGGTGTCATGGATGTGTCTTCGTTTCCTCGCCTGATGTGGAATACATGCTATTTCTTCGTGTGTGGGTGTATCTCAGCAGCTTATGCATGGCAATTGAGGTGTTGCTTCCGACTTCTCTTATCTCACTCATTTTTCAAAATGTTGTCGGGCTACCTTTCTTGTGTCCTTCGCGTCCTCAACACTCCCTTCACGACTGCTGCCACTCGACACAAACGATTCAACCACACAGATCTCACAAGTCTACGAATGTCACCTAGTGGATTCCTGCCCCAGGATAGGATGCCGCTGCACCAGCAACACCTCCAATCCTCCAGCACTCCTACGACCCGCCAAGAAGTTCCTCAAGAACGAGGCTACCCACAAGACTTTCGTCAGAAGAAGCAATGTCGAAAGGATCTCTAGTTGACTTGCGCGGCAGCACAAATGCAACGACCACACAGCTCTTCTAATGAACACAGTCCCGAATTGCAAATTCTCGCCATTTCTGCCAGACGAATGAATACAATGATTCCCATTGTACCGTTTTTCAAAGGACCCAGAAAACCATTAGCTAAAGTCTTCCTTTTCGAAATAGGGGTGGGATCTCACACGTGTGATGCAGTGTGTCTTCTCTCCTGCGCGGATCACAGAACAATTTGTCTTATAATCTATCCTTTCCAATGTGGCCTTACCACGCATTATCGACCCAAGATTATCATTTTGGAAAACGTGCTGAGCATCAGTTCTCTTGGTTAGCCAGCAATCGGAAATATGGATTGTCAGAGTACGAATCATGCATCGTCAGAATGTGGGATAAAGCTTAAGGAATAGCCACGAGCAAAGGAGGTTTCTTACATGGCGCCTGTCGATCATGACTTTTGAGGGAACTCTAGCATACGCTAGGCAACCGAGACAGCGGGTCAGGCAGCAAAAACAGAAGTTCCGCCTAACACAGGTATCAGAAGACGAGGGCACAATGTGAAATGGACAAGCTGGAATACAGAGAGAAGCTAGCTAAGGGGCGAGCAGGGCTCTAATATAGGACTGTCTGTCGGCATGGAAGTGTCCTGAATAGGACTAGAGCCTTCCAGTGTCGTGACAGGTAGAATTCGCCAGAATTCACTACCAAACAGGGTTCGTGTTACTCGACACCAAGCATTATTACATCCTGTCCACTGCGAGGCACATTTCGTGTTACTCGACACCAAGGATTACTACATCCCCCACAATGGGGAGCGTAGCCAAATCAGATATTCGACACCAAGGATTACTACATCCCCCACAATGGGGAGCGTGGCCAAGTCAATCAGATCCTCAAGCAGTGAATATCACGAGTTCAACGATTGTACGAATGGAAACTACTTGGATGTGGTCGCGATCAACTAATTGGCCAGTGCTTTTGGAATCGATGCTTTGCTATTTTGTCCTGGTGGTTCTTGTTTGTGCTAGTGGGATAATTGGGGTGCATTGTATGATTTTGTTTTGGGGGGATGGGGTTCAGTGATGGGGGTAATGAGTGTTTGTGATCCGTGATGTCGTTTCTGGAGAAGAGAATATTGAGAGAATAATATTTGTGGTGTGATGTATGATGTATGATGTACTGTTGCAATAGAAATAAAGGCGGCGCTTGGGTTTCGGATGTGGTAGCGAGGGTGTGAAATAAATTCGATCAATAAAAAGGAACCTAAGATGGAAATTTGTAATAATGTGAACAAGATACCTAAGTGTATTTTATAATATATTGATGGGTTAGATTTGAAAGACTATGGACATATTATCAAAGTATATGACAATCTGACAAACCACAGAGAGAAGGGCAGAGTTGAGCAACATCTAAGATTTTTTTGTTTAAATATCTCAGAAGTAATAAAAGTCCAGTAAATACAACTTCTCAATGGTAAACCACTAATACACCCAGACTTTACACCAAATAGTTTGTCTAGGTCCCAACATATATCATATACCCAACGCAGATTCCCAATCACCATTCCTCATAGTTTCAGAGGTAACCTTAGTTGGGGAGTCAAGCTTGTACATTCCGCCCATAGAATTAAACGCTTGCAAAATCATTTGGAAAAAGATAGTATCATAGTAGGGTACACGCTAACATCAGCCAGTAGGCACAATCACATCATTGCAAACAGCGAACCCGTATCCCCCTCTCACCACATACACCCTCCCCACATCTCCATCGAAACATTCCCCACAAGAGTTTCCGAAAAACTGATTTTACCACCTACTCGCAAGCACAACTCTTTCCATAGCCACAGTAAGTATCGACGAGCTATTACACATATATTAGCACCAACGCCAACCAAGCAACCAACCCCTTCAGTCGAGATACCAGCACATTCCTCAGGGAAGAACATCTAAAGAGATAGGAGAGAGAAAAGCTTACTTTCATCCCGACCTTCTTGCACTCGTCCTCACAGTATCTCATATCACAATAATGGGTCCCTTGTGGTAGCGCCGCAGCTGCGCTCATGGAAGCGAGTGCCAAGGTGAGGAGGAGGGTGAGGGGTTGCATGTTTGCGTTTTTTTGTTTGTTTTTTGATAAATATCTTTCAAAGATTGTTGAATGAATGGAATGGTTTAGAAATCAATTCTCGCTGAAGGGAAAGAGAGAGAAAGTGAGTCGTAGGAGTGAAGAATCGGTATGGATTTAGAGCACGAGGGAAATGGGGCTATTATATATGGAGGAGAGATGCTACGTCTTACCTGCGGTATTCCTGTTTCAAGTGGCATGTACAAAAATGACAAATCGTTTCTCCTAGAGCCGTGAGTTACCTAACTCTTTATCATACCGAATCTGGATAGGTAATAAATGGGAACTTGTCCCCCTCGTAATCTAACCTCTACATAGATAACACCACCAAAAAACCTAAAATCAGTCTGCTAATTCCCGCCAAGTACATAAGATAAATCTACGGAGCCGGCTCCATACTGTACCATTTCTCTCAGCATCGCCATGGCCCACCCCGATCACACAGCCAACCACCTCTATAAGACTATAAAAACCGGACGCGAATTGCATTTTCAAATTTCAATTGTTACCCGACGCTACATAGACCAGTGTAATAAGGAGAAGCCCATGGTAGAACTTCCTTATATCATCCATAAGTAAGTCGCGTCTCCGAATCCAAACAACCAAACAAACAAGCCGTGAAGATCTACCATCCAAAACATTTCTGATTCCTATTCTTATCTCCGACCATCTCATCTCGGACTTGGCTGGAAATTCTCCGTATTGTACGAGACTACCTTGAAAAGAAAGTAAACCGCTAGAAATCAAACACTACCACGATATCATTCATCGGATCCAATTTACTTCTGCACAACAACCAAAAAGAAGGATAATTAAGGCAAAAGTAGTGTATTGACGTGGCTTAGGAGGAAGTAATATAGGTAGTGTACTGCGGTGTACGATGAAAATCAACTGCTGTATAATGTGATATAATCTAATTTACAAAAAAGAGAGAGAGCATGATGTATAATGGGTATATGCGAAGCTCCGCAAAAAACAGAAGGAAAAGAAAAGCACAAAAAACTCATCCATAGAGATAAGCTAGATGGTGAAAACAAAGAAATCCGGTCCAAGATGTCTATATCCAAATCCAAATCACGATCCATATTGACCAACCTTCGCCCCGTCTAACAAAGCACATACAAACTACAAATCAAACTCAACCCTAAAATCATCGAGCACCAAAAACAAACGTTGTTCAGCACTTTCTTGCCACGAACCCACTTTGTGCGTTGCAGCATGACAATTGGCAATTGACTCATCTGAGCTGCGAATCCATATCCCCTGAGTTTCTTCGTGATACACGCCATCACAATCTCATGTCCAATCGCGGAAATCAGAAAAGTGATCAGGGTAGCCATAGGACGGCCGATATGTGGTCGAGAAGCAGAGTACACGTGACGACGGAAGAAATGGTGGACGGGAATATTCCATTCGCGGGAGAATTCGAGCCAGTCGGTTGAATTCCACCAGTCGGAGTAGAAGTGGCGGTCTGCAAAACCTAGGATGTATTGTTAGTTTATGGGAGAATGGCGAGCGGAGGAGAACTTACATGTTATTTCTGCGAAAGCACCAAGGACGTACTCGAAAATTACTAGGAAGACGAGGAGGAAGGTGACCATAAAAGGGAATAAGAGCATAGAGATTGACTCTGCGAGAATCAAGCCCGTTTCGGTTAAAGAATCGACAGTCTCGAGTCGAAGTGCTGAGTCAGTCAAGACTGGGAGAATGAATTCTTCAGACGTAATGGTGAGGAGAAAGATGACTCCGAAAACTGCTAGAACTTTGTAGCCGAGTTCGGACCAAACGATACCGCTCGTACGGGGGTATTCTAATTCGTAGCAAAGAGTTGGACAGAAAAGGTAGTCGACATAGTTGGCGTATGTCAAATTCTTTGGATATGTGACATTACCCATTGGGGAGATGAGTTCAATTGCTAGATCTTCTCGTAATTGAGCTAAATCTAACTGTTCTTCGGGTGTTTTTGGCTTTTCCGGTTGACCAGTGGCTGGATATTGATATGCTGGTGCTTTTGAAGCGGTTGATGGATTATCCAAAGCATGTAGTCTCTGTTCAGTTTCGCTAAGATGGCCATTGTAAAAGGCATATGAATGCATCTTCATGAGCATGACGAGGACATGTAGTGTGAGGAAAACTTGGGCTGTCCAGGTCCATTGACGAAGGAAAGGTACTCTGGTAAATGTTAGAAAATTTCAGCAATGCGATTGCAATATTTTCACTCACGCAACCCAGAATGCCAGCCATATCGTTTGGTAGAGAGCTTGAACTGCCATTCCCCCACCTTGCCATTTGAATCCCATATTCCGGCCTGCTGCACTCCTGAATAGACGATGTAATGGCAGACTGACCGAGGTGGAAAAGACCATCAATCCATCTGCTAACCCCAGTTCCCATACTTTCACAGTAAATAACTGCCAAATCTTCACACGCATAGGATATCCGGTATCTTTGACGTTGCGCAACATGGTAGTTATAGCCATGATAGTAAGTGCGATCCAAAATAGCACATAAAATCCGGTAAAATCACGATAGTCGCTCTGCGAATCGAAATGAGAAACTCTCGAGGCATATTCGATGGTAGGAAATATTCGGCGCCTTTGTTGGGCTTTGAGTTGTTTACGCGCATGGGAAATGGTATGCGCCGAGGGGGGTGCATCTTCCGGTACTGGAGTTGAACGACCACTGCAAGAATTAGCTGTGTCTGGCATATATTCTGGGTGATGATTACCTTGTTTGGCCGGAAATGTTCCCGTTCTCACTGGCGGATAAACGGCCATCTTCACTAAGAGTTCTTATGATAGCTGGATTTCCGGGTTTGCGAGGACGAGGTCGAAGAATATGCTCATCGTCTGGCAGGCCATTCCCCACAAGGAGGATATCTGTACCCGTCGACATTTTGAATGGTGTTGCAAGCTTGCGTGGTGAAGGACTCGAGTTCGAGGTTGGTGGATTGCTGGGGGGAAACCAGAAAACAGAAACGGTTGTATGAATTCTGAGGCGATGACGAAACTTTATTATACCAACAGTTCTGTGTAAGTTCGTCTGATGGGAGAAAGTTCCGAGCTGAGTACGGAGGACAGTAAGAAACAAGAAAAATAAAGGAGCGTATGAGAAGGACGAGTCTACAATTAATATGTCAAAAGATACACCAGGTATCTACATAACCATACGTAGCGGAGGTATAGGGAGAGTGAGTTATACGATCACGAGGGGGAGATGAGTGGTGGAACTACGTCGCAGCCTTTTTCTAACTGGACCAAAGTCAGGGGACCATCAGGGGCCATTCGTACTCCGCTCACTCAGCCACACTGTGGCGTCATATTTTCCCGCGATTGGTAGGTAGCCTTGTGGCCTCAATATTGGCCTTAGAGCCTTGAGCTGCCACTCGCCCCGGCTCCTGCTCACCTCCATATGCCAAGACAAAGCCATTGCGAGTCAACCTAGCTGCTGCAGCAAGCGAATTGTTAACACCATTTCGGACTTGACGAGCGAGGTTGATCAAGGCAACAAGGCAAACAACTTCAACCTCCTCTTTTCCCGGTGGAATTGCATCTTGATGATACTGAATCTTGATTGATCTTCAGCTGGTCAAATTCTCCAGGCTGGCCCAGCGAGGGCCCCTCAACACAAAGAATGAGCTCCCGTAAGTCTTCCATCTGAATGCCCATGTTCCCGTTCCCTGCTGATCATCTCCAGTCAAGCAATTCATTCGCAATGTGCGAGCTTCCAAAACTATCGCCGACGAACGAGCCGTGGTACAAAAGGAAAGCGCGGCTATTCGAGCTAGTTTTAAACAGGAGAGCGGGGATCACAATGTGAGGTAGGGAATTGCTGGCACATGGATGGTTGGGGCACCAGTTGACAATAAGATCCAGACGGAACAATGTGGCCAAACTACTCTACCTCTTTACGCTGGGAGAGCGCACCCATTTCGGTCAAATCGAATGTCTCAAATTACTTGCATCCCCCCGTTTCGCAGATAAACGATTGGGTTATTTGGGTACCATGTTACTGCTGGACGAATTACAGGAGGTCTTGACTTTGGTCACAAATTCGCTGAAGAAGTAAGGAAATTGCGGTTGGCATACGGTCATATTTACTCACATACCACCAGTGATCTGAACCATTCAAATCAATATATTGTCGGTCTAGCTCTATGTACACTCGGAAATATAGCCTCCGTGGAAATGTCGAGAGATTTATTCCCGGAAATCGAAACCCTCCTATCCACCGCAAATCCATACATCAGACGAAAAGCTGCATTATGCGCTATGCGAATATGTAGAAAGGTACCCGACTTACAAGAGCATTTCCTCGAAAAAGCGGCTGCACTGTTGTCCGACCGCAACCACGGTGTATTGCTCTGTGGTCTGACTTTGGTTGTGAATCTTTGTGAGGCTGATGAGCTAGAAGGGGGGGCAGAAGGAATCGTCGAGAAGTTTAGACCTTTTGCCGGAAGTCTGGTACGCACACTCAAGGCCTTGGCTAGCTCTGGTTACGCCCCTGAACATGATGTTACTGGCATTACCGATCCTTTCCTTCAGTGCAAAATCCTACAACTGCTGAGAGTGCTTGGACGTGGTGATCATCAAACGAGTGAACAAATCAACGATATCCTGGCTCAGGTCGCAACCAATACGGAATCATCGAAGAATGTCGGAAACTCAATTCTTTATGAAGCTGTTTTGACAATCCTCGATATTGAAGTGGACTCGGGACTGAGAGTGCTTGGCGTTAATATTCTTGGCAAGTTCCTTTCCAACAGAGACAACAACATTCGATATGTTGCCCTTAATACACTCATCAAGGTGGTTGCCGTCGAGCCAAATGCAGTTCAACGACACCGAAACACAATTCTCGAATGTCTTCGTGATCCTGATATCAGTATCAGAAGACGTGCTTTGGATCTTAGTTTCACCCTCATCAACGAAAGCAATGTGAGATTATTGATTAGAGAGCTTCTCGCATTTTTGGAAGTTGCCGACAATGAGTTCAAGCCAATTATGACGAGTCAGATTGGTATTGCTGCTGACCGATTTTCACCTAACAAGCGATGGCATATTGATACGATGCTGAGGGTCCTGTCACTTGCCGGTAATTACGTCAAGGAACAAATCTTATCTTCATTCATTAGACTCATCGCAACAACCCCGGAACTTCAAATTTACGCCGTCCAGAAGTTATATGTCAGCTTAAAGAAAGACATTACCCAAGAAAGTCTCACTCTTGCTGGTGCATGGTGCATTGGAGAATATGGTGATGTACTGCTTCGAGGCGGACAGTACGAAGAGGAAGAATTGGTACAAGAAGTGAAGCAGAGTGAGGTTGTTGATCTCTTTTCTTCGATATTGAACAGCAGTTACGCCACACAAATCGCCACCGAATACATCATCACTTCATTGATGAAACTCACTACCAGATTCTCAGAACCAGCACAAGTCGATAGAATTCGAAGGATATTGCAATCACACTCTGCCAGTCTTGATATAGAAGTTCAACAACGAGCAGTCGAGTATGGAAATTTGTTTGGCCATGATGCGATTCGGAGGGGTGTTTTGGAAAAGATGCCTCCACCACAAATCAAAGAGGAGTCAAGAGTTTTGGGTGAAGCACAAAAGAAGGCACCCAAGGCATCGAACAGAAAATCAAAGTCTGCCAAACCAGTGGAAGAAGATTTGTTGTTCGACCTGATGGGCGATGGCACTCCACCAACTGCAGATCTTGGTGGTGCCGCATCCTCAAACAACGCAGACCTTCTCGCAGACATTCTTGGGGACGCAACAGCCCCATCATCAAATTCTCAACCACAACAATCCAACGTGAGTTCGATTATGGATCTCTTCGGCAGTGGCCCTCCTGCACAATCTCAGCCCGCGCCAGCAGCTGCTTCCAGTGACCTCTTCTCCGGCATGTCATCGCCACCTCCTCAACCAGTCGCAGCCGCTCCTCCATCTATTCCCGCTCATCCTTGCTACGATAAAAATGATCTCAACATCACGCTACAGCTTCAGCGAAATGCAGAGGGTATGGTCCAAGTCATGGCTAGTTTCAGAAATACTTCCATGCATCAAGCTATATCGGCTGTGGATCTTAAAGCTGCGGTTCCCAAGACGCAGAAGTTGCAGTTGAATGCTATGTCTACTACCGAACTCGGTCCGGGTGGGGAGGCGACGCAGACTATGAGGATTGCTGGGACTAAGGGGGTAAGTTCTAATATCCCACTTGCGCTGTAGAAATGATACTAACGTGATAACAGCCTCCTTTGAGACTCCGGTTAAAGATTTTGTTTGTACATCCTGAGGCGGGACAGGTGACGGATCAGGTGGATTGGTCGGAACCTAGGTAGATGAGATAGGTAGATGGGATGACGTGAAGCGATGTGAGGATTATGAAGAATGGAAGATGACTATTTTTTCAACCATCACTTCCCGTCTCTTGATATTCTCCCAAAACGTACTAATGGCCACATCTCGAATGATTTTATTAGCCACTCCCACTAGACGCAGTGCCTGATGAAGACTCGGGGTTATCGATTTGGTACACTTAGCTCCCTAGCTTTGCTCAGGCTAATTGTGCTTTTCGTATCCATGACGTGCCCTAAAGATAATATTGTGAAGGCGTTCGATGAATTTGAATGAGAAATTTCCGTGCAAGACGCACGGGTTTTGAATTAATATGGTGGTCATGGTATCCTTAAAAGAATCCTGGATCGATCTCTCAGAATCCATGGAGCTATATCGCCAGGCATCGGAGTTTAAACACAAGAAGGATGAGAAGAAGTTGTTGGGTTCCAGATTAGAGAGAGAGATGAGATCAGTGGGAATACCACAAAGATGACTTCTAATTCGACTTCAGGATGAGATGATGGGACTGGGTACTCTAGGTGGCGCTTCAAGAAGCAGACAGGTATAAGCGTAGGATTCCTTGTATTATTATTATTATTATTATTATTATTATTATTATTATTATTATTATTATTATTATTATTATTATTATTATTATTATTATTCCTTTTAACGTGCTGTGTGAGTCTGAGACTATAGTAGCACGGCTGGGGGTTTCCCTCCAGCAGATAACTGAAACTGTACTAAATACATGTGTGAGAAGGGAGTTTTGGTGAATACAGTTATTGGGTTGTTGGAAGCAGCGAGGCTTTAGGATTCCTTGTATTTATACGCAAAGATCTCACATATTGTAGTGACCAGGTCTCTTACCGAGTATAGTCATGACTTGAACTCTTTAATCATTTCCCTATCTGAATTTGTACGCCTTCTTCTGCTCTAGCCAAAGACTGTAATTTGATTTATCCTTAGCTTATTATCTAAGTTGAAGAAATATAGATTCTCCGGGCTCTCTCTTGTATAGATCGGTCACCTCTGAATGTTTTCATCACCTGAGGACTGAAGGTATTCCAAGGAATGAACTCACTCTCAATAAAACCCACAAAATACATTATTTCAGCTGTTCTGGCCCTAAAGGCCTTCTGGTGAATCTATAATTATTCATTCCATTAGTTTAACTATTAAGCAAGTCCTGTTCATTGTTGTCTTACCACTTGAAAGTATCATCTAACCAAAGATTCCCCTCCCCCAGCGAAGTCAATTTGAAGTACGTGGGGATACACTACAACCCAAGTTCCATCGTTAGTTTATTTTGAATTTTCTGGCGTTTGCACCAATGAGTAGTTCACAAGCCACACAACTTTTTCGAGGAAAACTTTTCTTCGAATTCCATCAATCCCGCTCAACCAAACGATAGCAGCTAGAATTTCAACCAATCCCCTCTCCTCCCAGGAGGCCTGCCCCTCTGGTGGCAGAGATATATCCGTCAAAAGATCACGTGAAAAAATTTCACCCCCTCTTTCTGACCTCTCACAACCCCTACACCACCAATGCCGCTACTATGGCGACCCAAACACAGTCAAACCCGGAATGGCAACAAGAAGTCATAGAAGGAACAACCTACGAACCCATGCAACTCTTCAACGAGCCCACGCTCCCCATCAGCCCAATTTACCCAATTATCACCCTGGGAACTCCAATCCCCCAAACACCTAGCGCCAATGGCCAAGACTACCTCCTAGGAGGCTATGCGCCATCCAGCCCAGTTAACCACATCCAACGAAACCAAAACAACCCTAGCTTTATAGACATTAGCACGCCAAACAACTCCCAAAGAATCAGAGAAACCTAGCCTCAAGCCAAAAGACAAAGAAGCAACCAATCCTTGAACTTAACCTCAAAATACGCCCTCATGTCCCACCCAGAAACCTCCGATGACGCAATTATAGCATCTAGGTCCCTTCTGTGTAAGGCGATTGAGCTTGAAGACAACCAGCCCAAGAAACTCGCTCTCATGGACCTACTCAACCTCTTCCGGGACTATACCGAGGGAAAACCACTCAAAAACACAATTACCACCCTTACCAACTCAGTCAACAACCTAGAGAACATCGCAAGGCGCCTTCCTAAAAGAAGCTACGCATCGGTAACCACAAACAACAAACCTACCACAGACACAGACACAGACAACAGTACTCAAGGCCTCATAGACCGGCAACTCAACCACGCTCCTCCTCAAAAAACAAACATGGACAAGAAGAGAGACGCTTTTAAAAAAGCTGCTACTGAGAAAAAGAAAGCCATTAAAGCCCAGCGTCTCATTCTCATCGAAGACCACCTTCAACCATTTAGCGACTTACAACCAATTACCCTCAGAGACACTATTAACAAGGAATTCAAAGCTCGTTTTAATGTCAGCCCCGCAATTAGCACAGTCTCCAGATCACGAAACAACAACCTTGCCCTTACAGCAGCAGAAGAATACAATGCTAAATTCCTGCTTGACAGAATCGGAGCTATCCAAAAGGTACTCAAATTCAAAGAAGCAAGAGTCGACGCTATCAAATACCAAGTAGTAATCCACGGCATCCCAATTAAAGAATTCAACTCTCTCGCTGGCCTAGCACAACTCAAAGATGAGATCCTCACTTTTAATAAGAGCCTCAACCTAGAAATCGACGACATCCCTCACTGGCTTGCTTACCTCAAAAGATAAACGAGATAGCGGCCTACAACACCAAGGATCAATCGTTGTAGCTTTCAAGGAAGAAAGCCAAGCAAACAGAGCACAAAGAAACAGACTTAACCTTGCAGGAATCAGCGCTAGAGTTGAGCACCTCCGGAACACGTCGAGGAAAATGCAGTGTACTAGATGCCAGGAAGACGGGCACCCTCTTAAATACTGTAAAAACCCTCCAAAGTGTAAATTCTGCTCCCAACAACACCAAAGCTTGCAACACAAATGTCGTCAGTGCGAAGCTCAAGGCGGAGCCTGCGTACACACTACCACCGATGCTATCACAAAATCCCAATGATAGAAAGCCCGATCAAAATCATCTCTTTTAATGCCAACACTACATCAGAAGCCATGGAAAACGCGCTAGAAATAGCTGTCCAAGTCAAAGCAGACATTGTACTCTTCCAAGAACCATGGTTTCACAACGCACGAAGCAGACAAAATTACACAGCTGTCACCTCAACAGCACATGGCAGTTTTACGCAAATTTTCCCAAACCACTTGCCCAGCAAAAGGCCTCGAACAATTACCTATATCGCAAAAACCTTCAAACCCTCAGTCAGCCTCTCAAGAGAGTCACCCAGCGACACCGATATCCAGTTTATCGACATTACTGAAGGAGAATAATCAATACAAGTAGTCAACATCTACAACCAGAAAGACCAGGGAGAGCACTAGAAAAGAACGTTCCAAAGACATCTACAAAACTACAATATTAGAAATAATACAATAGTCATGGGAGACTTTAACTCACAC